GACCAAGGGGCTGTAAACTGTAGATTGATTCTACCTGGTATGTGAGTATCTTTATGTATTTAATGTACAACCAGACATGTGGCCATACAGTACACACACACATTAAACCAGTAATGTATTGAATTTGATTGCTTCCCCTATGAAACTGATAATTGGTATTTTTAGGAGCACTTGCACTTTTATGTTTATTAGTCTAAGCATCCAATCAGCCATTGGTCAAGCAGTAGTGCAAGGAATGATACGGGTTAAAAACCTTTAGTTTAGTTCACACATCAGAAAAACAAAAAAGTTTACTCAATGAAGACACATCACTATATTTCTTATAGTGCAATAACTGGACACATTTCAGCTAATAGTGTCATAGTCCCTGTGTCTGCCCGGCCGGCTCAATAAGGCTACAGGTATTCATGACTGTTTTTCTTCTCTCTCGCTATCTCTACTGTCTCCTCCTCACCTGGGCGGAGCTCACTGTGGGCTTCCGTTTTTGGCCAACACACCTGGAAGCAGGTACTCACCTGTGGTTCGTTATACTGCTAAAAGATGTGGGTGTCATGCTGGGAGGGAGCGCTGTCGCCCAAGAAGGAGACATTATAGACCATCTCTCCCTTCTTTAATCACTGGAAGTGTAAGATCGCTGACCAATAAGATGGATGAGCTCACATCACTAACCTAGTCACAGAGGGAGTACCGGCAATGTAGCATCATGATCCTAACGGAGTCCTGGCTAACACCGCTAACTCCGGACACGAGCATAACGCTACCTGGATTCCAGCTGCTCCGGGTGGACTGCACGAGAGAGAGCAGTAAGAGGAAAGGAGGGGGACTGGCAGTGTTTGTGAATGACAGATGGTGTAAACCCGAGCACATCACTGTGAAAGAACAACTCTGCAGCCATTAGCATGCGTGAGTACTACCTGCCCAGGGAATTCTCGCATGTTATCGCGATGCCCCCCTCGGCCAACGTAGATGCAGCCTGTGACTCTCTCCACTCTGTGGTCAGCAGACTGCCATCCCAATGTCTGAGAGCCCTTCTCCTAATATCAGGGGACTTTAATCATGCCTCACTGAATTCCACACTGCCCACCTTCACCCAGTATGTGACATGCCCAACCAGAGACAATAAAACACTGGACTTACTGTACGCCAATGCAGAAGAGGCATACAGTTCATCACCTCTACCTCCCCTGGGCAGATCTGATCACAACCTGGTGCACCTTGTCCCTGTGTATGAGCCCTTAGTGTGCAGGGACCCACCAGACACCCGCACAGCGCAGAGCTGGTTGGAGAAGGGCGACGAGGCTCTTAAAGATTGTTTTGACTCTACTGTGTGGAAGGCGATCTGTGACGACCACGGAGAGGACATCGACAGCCGGCAGTACGGACTATATTAACTTTTGTGTGGATAACACCACACCCACCAGGACTGTACGGTGTTTCTCTAACAATAAACCTTGGATTACCCCAGAAATTAAAGCTGTCCTCAAGCAGAAGAAGAGGGCCTTCAAATCCAGAGACAAGGAGGAGCTGAAAAGGGTGCATAGAGAGCTGAGAAGAATGATAACGAATGGAAAGGACAGCTACAGGCAAAAAATGGAGAACCAGCTTCATCAAAACAACGCTGGCAAAGTCTGGAGAGGCCTCAGAACCATGTCAGGCCACAAAGTTCAGAACTCTCTGCCTGGGAGGGATGTGAGGTGGGCAAATGATCTGAGTCATTTGTTTAACAGATTTGATTCATCCATGAGGCAGTCTTCAACATCGGCGGCAGACTCACCCACCCCCACTGCTGCCGTTCCACCTCTGACACCTCAGACACCTCACACCTCCTCTACTCACTCTGCTCACCACTCCACACCCCCAACAACAGCATCCAATACACACTCAACACAAGGCTCCAGGCTGTCTCTCTCAACCACCCAGGTTAGGAGGGAACTGAGGAGGATTAAAGCCAGGAAGGCAGCGGTCCAGATGGCATCAGCTCAAGGGTCGTCAGGTCCTGCACAGACCAACTGTGTGGGGTGATGGAGCACCTCTTCAACCTGAGCCTGAGGCTGGGGAGAGTCCCACAGCTCTGGAAAACCTCCTGTGTTGTACCAGTGCCAAAGACTTCACGCCCCAAGAACTCAACAGCTACAGACCGGTGGCTCTGACATCCCACCTGATGAAGACCCTGGAGCGGCTGGTCCTGGCTCAGCTTCGGCACCTGGTGAGCTCATCACTGGACCCACTTCAGTTTGCCTACCAGCCTGGCATTGGAGCGGATGATGCCGTCATTCACCTCCTACATTGTTCCCTTTCTCACCTGGAGACCGCTGGGAGCACTGTAAGAATCATGTTCTTTGATTTCTCCAGTGCCTCCAACACCGTTCTTCCCACAGTCCTGAAGGACAAGCTGGAGAACTCAGGAGTGGACCATCACCTCACAACATGAATACTGGACTACCTCACCGGCCGACTACAGTACGTGAGAAATCAGGACTGTGAGACTGTGGACAGCTACAGGTACCTTGGTGTTCATCTGAACAATAAACTGGACTGGACTCATAATTCAGACGCCCTCTACAGAAAAGGGCAGAGCAGGCTATACCTGCTGTGGAGACTCAGGTCTTTTGGAGTGAAGGGCCCACTCCTGAAGACCTTCTATGACTCTGTGGTGGCCTCAGCCATCTTTTGCAGTGTGGTCTGCTGGGGTGGCAACATCTCTGCTGGGGACAGAAAGAGACTGAACAGGCTGATCCGCAGGGCCAGCTGTGTTCTAAGATGCCCTCTGAACCCAGTGGAGGTGATGAGTGACAGGAGAATGATGGCTAAGCTGTCATCCCTGATGGACAACATCTCCCACCCCATGCAGGAGACTCTGACAGCACCAGCTGCTCCTTTAGTGGCTGCGGCACCCACGATGTGGGACGGAGAGATTTCACAGGTCTTTCCTCCCCACTGCTGTCAGACTCCACAACAAAGACTTCAACTGACCAAACACACATATCCACACATGTGCAATAGCAATAACACTAAGTGTAATACTCTTTTCTAGCATTGTTGTATTATACTCAGTTGTATACAGCATTTTATTTTATTTAATTCTATTGTATATAGTATTTTATTCTTATCCTATTCCAGTCTTTTTCTAATTTTTGCTATGTAACTTTGCACTGTCCACTTTCTGCTGTAACAAAACAAATTGTTACAGTGTGTGTGTAATTTCCCTCACCATACCCACCATACCCCATGGAACCCTTGAACCCCTGAACTCCCTTCACATTCTGTATATAGTCACTCAGTGTTTTTTAAATAAACCATCTTTGCACTTTTCCTCAAATCTGCGCCTGAGTCCGTTCAGTCAACCTCGGCAATAAGCCATATTTTGCAAAAAAACAAGGCAAACAGCCAGGACAATATGAAATCCAGATGACTTCCGAGCACTAACAAACAAAAAGAACTTGAATTGCGTCACGGAACGCATCCATGAATGACCCACCCCAAAATGTAGCTCATAAAAAAATAATTTAACAAAGAATCACGGCCAAAAACTCAATATAATAATCTACAGATATGTGTCGATTCGTAGGGAGCTTGTAGATGCAGAGAAGGCGGACGGACCTGAGCAGCATCCGCAGTCACGCCTCGCCGGCTTAAAAGCTGAACTAGATCCTGCAGTGTTGTTGTTGGTATGTGTTTGGCTGGCAGCTGAAAAGCTGCAACTGTGTGTGTGGTAAAAAAGAATGCATGGAAATGTGGATGAATCTGCCGTGTCAGTATTACAGAGTGCGCCCCATCCTGGGTATTATTGTACACAGTTCTAATGTGCAATGTATCCTGAAAACAGAAAAAGAGGAGGTTAAAGAGACCCCAAAATAGTTTTTTGTCTTTCTATTGTGATCTTGGACTCAGAATTCTTACATCCTCTAATTTAGGTTTGTTTTTGTTCGAAAAGAAAGAAAGAAAGAAACAGGTCTCGTTAAACTGATCCAATACAGGTTAAAACTGAACTGTGAGGAAAGGTTTACTCATTAAGTATTAAACAGGCAGATGTACATACATACTAATAAGGACTGTGTATACTGTCAGTTATGGTTGATATGATCATGGGACGTGTTATGATCACTATGCAGCTGCTACTTTGTTCAGAGACAGTGGAGACTGTGTTGAGTCTTTTAGAAGAGCTGCTCAGAGGTTTTTTTTTCATCTGTGCTAAGCACACATAGGTCACATGATGCTGGTGGTAAATTACCTTCACATTATTTCACTGCACTCAAGAGTACAGGTCCCACCTAACTTCACAAACTCGCTTCACTGCTCTCAGCTACAGTAAGGTGACAGGTGCACAGCCTTTAGTCTGCAATCTTTTTTTTACATTTTAAGATCTGAAATTAGATGTCAAAACCACATCAGGGGAAAGCTTCACAATTAGATACATTTGATCTACTAAACCTCACTTGCATTATCATGGCCAAGCCAGTCATGAACTCTCAAGTCACTGTGCATTTATAGAGCTACTAGTTTAATATATCATAATATATCATTAACTTTAGCATCACTGCAAAGGTAACTCCTAATAAAATACTAAGTTAACTTTTGGATATAAAGGTACTGTCATGAACTGGTGGAAATATGAGAATGGGACCCAAGAGCAGACTCAATACATGAGTTGAAGGTAGGATGGAGGCTTGGCGGGAGCACTGAAAGACTTGGAGGGTCCCTACGAAGCAGGTTGCAAGCAAGAATGAAAGATGAGGAGTGTGACTTTAAGTACACAGAGTGGAGGCTGACTGACTTGAAGTAAGCAGCCAAAAAGAGGATTGAACTGGAGTAATGATGTCAGCATTGAGTTTAATGATACCCAGTTTGTCTTGCTCAGTGTCAGTTTGCACTCGTGCTCCTAAAAGCACCGTCACTGTCAGTCTGACTGTACATATAAAAGCACAGCCCGCCTCTTTACGTACAGATCACTTTTACCGAAGCACAGTTCAGTAGGTAAAATAGTAGTGTTGTGTGTCACAATGATGAACATGAAGCCAGTTTTACTCTACACCTTCAGTAAGTATATCTCTCACTTTTTTTACATTTACTTCTATACAATAATCCAGCAGAACTGAACCTTACGTACATGTCAATAATGCTCGCTGTTTGTTCCAGGTTGGATCTCTGTCTTAGCCTTCGAGTTTCACTGTGTGGAGGTTCAGCCTGATGAAGAAGTCACGCTGCAGTGCTCCAACCTGAGCAGTTATCCTGTTCACTTATTCTGGTTCAGAAGTACCAACAGACCCAACGCTAGCAGGATCTCATCTATGGTCAGCCCTGAGGGCAATGTGACTTTCTATGAAGGATTTCAAAATGGCAAATTCAGCATGACATCCAACATCTCTGTGCTATTTCTTGAGATCAAACAAGTGGATTCATCTGACTCTGGGCTGTATTTCTGTGGCCTGCCCAGTTCTGAAAAGTTCACAGTTTATGGTGCAACAAATTTAAAGGTTCAAGGTAAGCTTGTTTTTATTTTTTCTCTATTGATTCATTTAAGGCAATTAAAACGTGTACTATCTTTATTACCAGTCAAAAAACTACAGATACTCTCATTTATTATTCCTGTTATTTATTCTTATTAAGTAATGTAATTTAGTTTTCGTTCTTGTAGAAGGTAGATCACAAAATCCATCCACTATGATCATGGGCAGTTTAACTGTTTTCCTTCTACTGGTCATCATCGGTCTGATTGTCAAGATCAGGAAATTTCATACAGGTATTTATTTATTTAAACTTAAACTAAACAAAGAAAATTTTTAGTGGATAACTAACAGATGTAGCTTTTCTATTAAATAGCTCAAGATGATGGACAGAATCCACAACGCAGTGAGGTAATCTGTTTAAACCGTAGATTCAGATCAATTGATTTATATATTGTCTGATTCAATCATTCATCGATTAACATCCACCGGTCACCAGCAATCAGTCTTGAATTAGGTTTGAGTTATGTTGCTGAAAATGTACATTTTTATAAACTAAGACATCCACACATCAGCCTAGACTCTAGACAGATTGCTTCTGACCTAGTGGATGTTAAGAGATAAATAAATATGTAAGAATAGTGACTTTGAACATTTTCATTACAGAATGTGGACTCTGGTGCCATGAACTATGCAGCACTGAGTTTCCCTCTGAGAGCAAAAATCAGAAGGTCTGTGCCACAGAGAGAGCTGGAGCCAAATGTTGTGTACGCTGCTACGAGATAGACTCACAGGAAAAGCAACACAGAAACTCTCTCACACATTTTGTTGTTACTTGATAAAAATAGTGTGACTGATGGTTGATGGGGGACGAGCTAGTGAGGACTTTGATGTATAGCTTAGATTGTCTTGTAGTGAAAGTGAGTGAAGCTCTGCTGTACTGTAATAGTAACACAGATGTAGTTTACCTTGTTTGACATGAAGAGACAGCAACTGTGGTCTGACAGTCAATGAAAATCTCATCTCATCTCTGAGGCTTATTTTACAGACATTGTTGCTGGTAAAAGAACCTGCAGCTTTTTACAAGCATGTGAGGCCAGACTCTGCAGCAACCAAACAACCAAAGTCATAATCTAGAAAGCCGATGCAAAGTCTTGTCACTGTGACATCCACCTGTCACAGCTACAGACTCTTCTCTGGGCAGTTAAACCTCTAAATAAATAAACTTGAACCTAGTACATAAATGCATGTATATAATCACACACAAAATCTCATTAAAGCTGAAGCAACAGACTTGCAGGTTGTAATAAAACAGACGTCACCAAATTGTGTTTGAGTTTTTTTCTGGTTTGCTCACAACTTATGTGTAAAACTGAACTGAACTACCATTGTGTATCAACAGATATAATATCTTTACTGATGAGTTGTGGCTAATCTTCTTGCTCTTGTAAACTCCATGTAGTTAACTTCACTGTTATTTTTTAATAGCTTCTGAAAACTAGAATTTTAAGATAACCTTGCCATCAAAGCGTGCCTTTTTGCCATGAAAGCCTTTTTCAATTGAGATGGCATGAGCAGTGAGTCCAGCCTGGGTGATCCAGTCATTCGGGACGACGGTGTCATGAGGGCAGGCAGATGAAGAGAGAAGGCAAAAAGAGCATGAAACTGTGACTTGGGATGCACAGCAATGACCAGCGTCCAGGTAAGTGAGAGTGCATCCAGGTTGGAGAATTGGAGATCCATGAAAAGACTAAAACACAAGGAAACACAAGGTAAACCTAAACTAGAAGTTGAAGCACTAAGGTGAGTTAGCGAAGACACATCTTATTTCACAGTTGTGTGTGCTGGTCTTAAGTACAGCCACCAGGTGTGGACAACAGGTGAGATGATGAGGGCTCCACAGCGAGACCACAGCTCTGTGGAGAAAAACTGCCACTCACCCGGACCATGACAAGGGTGTCCTGGTCCTAAAAGCACAGATGAGAGTTTTGCCCAACTATACCTAATTAGGATCTCTTCACTTAACGTCACCTAACAACATAATTTTCCTCTAAAGAGATGACTTTCCATTTATCTAAAGCCAAACTGGCAAACTGTGATTTGATTGCCAGGCCTCCATCCCTGACTGCTTTCCATTCCACATGGCACTCAATACGATATCGTATCCACTTTGTTGACCCACAAAAGTGTGAGCCCATGTCACTCTTTTCAGGCTGCATCCAGATATGTGTTTCCCTTCGAGCCCAGCATCAAAAACAGCAAAGCAGCATTCCCAGGTCAGTGAACAGGGTTGTAGCAATACTCAGACTTTTTTTACCCCAAGCAAATCTTTTCCCAACCTGTTATGTAAAGCCAATGAGCTCAAAAAAGAAAACAGTTCAACAGTTTGTGGATGAAGGAACATGAAAGCAAGCATGGTGAAGAACAATATGAATTGCTTAGTATGAGTACAGCTGTAATGTTTGCCAAAGAGGCACAAAAGTGGCTTAAGACTGTCAAACTTAGTCATAGGGTGAGTCAGGTGGTCTGCAAGGGGGAGGAGAGTTGAGTGAGATACATGTGCATATCACACTACAGAAAGATGCAGCACAGTGACAACACAAGGTCACAGAGCTTTAAAGAAAAGAGTAAAGACTTTGTAAAAACCAACACAGAAAGTCTGTCTCTTTGCTGATGTGGTGAAATGAGCAATAAAGGATCATTGAAAAAAAGACGAATCAGTAGAACAATGTCAGTGTTTTCCTTTCTTTTCTTTTTTCTAAAGTCATGTAGTCAAGTTTTAGGATAAAATGCACAAACGTGATTTAATTTAACTGTTAATTATGATCAACAGTGACTGTAAGAGTGAAATACAAAAGGCGCAGCTTTCTTTCCTGACCATCATGAACGTGCTACAGATTGTGTCCCTCCACCCATCATCTTCTGCCGTGGTGACAAAACGGTGCATCAGCTTTTTATCAGAGGTGGCAGTGTAGACACCTGGATAACAGATGCAGTTATCACAGGTCGAGTGCCCTCACCAAGTGAACTCTGCATTTCCTGCTGGGTAATACCAACAGGGTTAGAGATTAGGACTTTTTACACAAAGACCCAATCCAGACTTCCTGTATTGGGGTGCTGGTTCACAGATTGGCACTCTTAAACAGAAAGTTGGCAGAGCGGGTGAAATATGTGCTTTCACTGACAGCAAATAAAGTCAATGCTAGAACTATCTGAAATGAAATGTGAAGCCTAAAGTTAAGGTTCACAGGGGTTACTGTTACAGACACAGACTTCTTTAATTTAGTCATGTTTAACATTAATTTACTACATTTAATATCAACACTAATGTATACACGTTACGAAAAGACACTCACTTTCTACTACTCACTTTCTACACCTTCTACTACTACTTGTACGCCAACATGGCATGCATGGCACATGGCTGCCACCAGATATAGGCATATAGTCAAGGTCAAGGCAACCTTTTGAAGTTTAAAGGGGAGGAAAGGTGATTTAGATGACTTTGAATATGGCATGGTTGTTGGTGCCAGACAGGCTGGTCAAAATATTTCAGAATTTGCTTATATATAACTAAATAACCAAACCTTTCAGTCAAGATAGAGTCAGTCAGAGGAGAGGTAGAGCGATAAGGAGAGAGACACAGATAGAAAGTATTGAGCCAACCAGAACTGACAGAAGGACTGTAAACTGTAAATTGATTCTACCTGGTATGCAAGTTTCTTCATGTATTTAATGTACATCCAGACATGTGGCCATACAGTACACACACACATTAAACCAGTAATGTATTGAATTTGATTGCTTTCCCTATGAAACTGATAATTGGTATTTTTAGGAGCACTTGCACTTTTTTGTTTATTAGTCTAAGCATCCAGTCAGCCATTGGTCAAGCAGCAGTGCAAGGAATGATACGGGTTAAAAACCTTTAGTTTAGTTCACACTTTAGTTCAGTGTGTGAATGTGTGTGTGAATGTGTGTGTGAATGGGTGGATGACTGGTTGTGTAAAGCGCTTTGGGGTCCTTAGGGACTAGAAAAGCACTGTACAAATACAGGCTATTTACCATTTTAAATCAGAAAAAAGAGAAAACAAAAAAGTTTACTCTATGAAGACACATCACTATATTTCTTATAGTGCAATAAATGGACACATTTCAGCTATAAGTGTCATGGTCCCTGTGTCTGCCCGGCCGGCTCAATAAGGCTACAGCTATTTGTTATTCTTCTCTCTCGCTCTCTCTACTGTCTCATCCTCGCCTGAGTGGAGCTCACTGTGGGCTTCCGTTTTTGGCCAACACACCTCTTTATGGCTCTTTATGCTGCTACTCCCGGCAACATTTTAAGGCAAGGGCTTAAAAAGTTGTACTACTCACGTTAGTGTAGCCCAGCTCAAACCCACTCTTGTGTTTCCATGTGATATTCCTGGTCCTGATTTCTCATCTGTTCTGTATATAGATTTCCAGGTCACATCCAGGATTCTCATCCCTGGATTTCCTGAGTGTAAGTGAAGTTGCAAGAGATGAGTGGCGTGACCGAAGAGGAGTGTGAGAGCATATCGGAGAGTGTGTGTGTAATTCTCTTCACCATACCCTGTGGAACCCTGAACCCCTGAACTCCCTTCACGTTCTGTATATGGTCACCAGTGTTGGTCAAGTTACTTGAACAAAGTAATCAGTAACTAATTACTGATTACTTCCCCCAAAAAGTAATCCCGTTACTTTACTGATTACTTATTTTCAAAAGTAATT